AAATCAGAGTGACCATGACAGCGACTTAATCACTCCGTGCCTTAGTTTCCTCCTCTCTGAAAGGAGGAACTGTCCCCCTATCCCTCAGTTGCTGTAAGCCCTGGAGACAGTGCAGGCCAACGCCTGGCGCACAAGCCCCGGGCCTCCAGGTGGACGGAGCTGGGAGGGAAACCCAGGTAGAACCACTGGAAGAAGAAAAAGAAAAGCACCCCTCCCGAGGTCTCTCGTCCTGGGCTCAGAAGGGTTCATTAGACTTTCATAAAATCAGAGTCGGAGAGACGGGGCGCGGGGGGCTGCTGGGGACCCAGCGGGACAGACACCGGAGACCGCGCGCTGCCCTGGGGGATCCCGCCCACCCAGCCCGGAGCTGCAGCCCTGCGAGGGCGGGGAGCTGGGGCGGGGCGCGGAGTGTCTGCCCGGATCCCTCGACCCCCTCGACCCCCACGGGCTGCGCGACTCAGGCTGGTGCCCGGTGCCACCGGGTTTGGCTCCCAACCCTGCCGAGCCGCGTGTCCACGGGAAGAACTCCTCCCCCTGCGAAGCCCGGGTTCTGCAGCTGTCCGCGGGGTGAAGGATGGAAAGCAGGGGTGAGGAAGCAACCGAATGCTGAAAGCCCGGGAGAAGCCACCTGTTCGTTGATCAAAAGAAACTTTCCGAAAGTGACCGGCGCGATCCTATGTTTGATTGTTAGAAAGACAAACAAACACAATCATCTGTGTATGCTTTCCAAAAAGAAAAGGGAGGGCGAGAGAACACGATTCTGCTTGCTTCTTTATTGGGGGGAGCGGAAATACTGGGGATTGAGCTGAGGGGCGCTCCACCACTGAGCCACATTCCCAGCCCTATTTTGTATTTTGTATTTTTTTTTTTTTTTAAGACTCACTGAATTGCTCAGCGCTTGGCTTTTGCTGAGGCTTTGAACTCGCGATCCTCCTGCCTCAGCCTCTGAGCCTCTGGGATTACCACCACGCCCAGCTGCTGCTTGCTTCTTGAAGATGGGATTCCATGTAATTTTTATTCTCTTGATCGTTCTTAAATTTTGGCCAAAGAACATGGATGACTTGAAGTCAGAGTAACATTAATAGCTGGCATTTGGCTGTTTATGATAATACCATGCTGAATGTATTATCCTGGTTTAAAGCTCATTCATTCTCTCTTCCTAGTGATCTAGAGTGGGAAGGCACTACTATGCCCCTCAGAAGAGGAAACTGAGGTTCAGAGTGGGCTAATGGGCTTGCCTATAGTCAGATTGCCAGGGAGTGGCAGAGTTCTGATTTAAAACCACAGTCAAGAAACTAATCCAAAAAAAATGAGCATTTAATCATTACCATTACAGCTTCTGAGGACACCAAGCACCAAAGAATCTGTTTTCTTCAATGTTTTAGTATGAAAAATACCCAAGAAATTGAAAGTAGAAAGAAAAATATTATGAACTCTAACGTACCCACCACCCGGCTTCGAGGAAGTCCTTAAATGTGGGAATTTGGTTGGGGGCTCAGAGCAGGGGATGGCGGGGGTCAGGGAGGAGAACCACCCAGATCTCCCAGACCCCCTTTCACACACACACAAGCACACACGCACCCGCGCACCCGCACCGCAGGCTCTCAGATTCCACTTGCGGCAGACTCAGTGGGGCACTGCAGCTGCCCTCCCTCTCTCCACCTCCAACCAGCTCCTTCCTCCTTGCTACCGACTTGCATTTCTCCGGCCGCCTCCTCTGTAGGTCTCTGGTTCTCCTCCAAGGCCTTGACATTTTGCCAGCCCTGGAGGACAAAGGAGGAATGGCCAGGGGCCCTGACAGTATGCCACAGTGGGCAATCCTGGTAGTGCTGACCACCATGGGCACAGCTGTGACAGCGGCCACCAACCCTGGCCTTCTGACCAGGATCTCCCAGAAGGGCCTGGACTACGGTAATTGGATGCCCTCCTTTCCTCCTCTCCCACCCCTGAGGAGTCCTTCCTGAGTACTTCCTGGTCCTCACCATTCTGCAGGGTAGGCCTCTCACCCTTGTTTAACCTGCAAAGAAACCGTGGCAAAGTGAGTTGCCGGAGACCCCAGGCCTGGGAAGGGGCAGGGCTGGGACTGAAACACTGGTCTAGAAGGTTCCAAGTCTAGTGCCCAAGCCCCTGAGTGTGCACAATCCCCTCCCTGACCCCACCCCAACTCAGGTTTCTAGGACCTTCCTCCTTTCCAAAGTCCATTTGCCTCTATTTGCTGAGAAGACTGGAGAGGTGTGTGGACAGGGTCCCTCCTTAGTGGTCTCCACAGTGCAGGGGCTGGCAGCCATGTTGGGCCCAACATGTCTGGGTGACCCTGAGAGGATTCCTGCAGGCCATTCATCCAGGGCCAGAAGGAGGAGAGAATAGAGTGAATGCCCTGCTCTGACGTGGGCTGGGAGCTTTGTCCATGCAGTCTCATTTATCCTCACTTCCACCGTGGGTGGGACTTGTTGTTATTTATCAATGTTTACAGGCCAACAAACCTGAGAGTCAGAGCCACGCGAGAAGCAGGCAGCCTGGTTTTGTCTAATGCCCCAGCCTGGGGCTGCTCCATGCTGCCTCCCATTGGCAAAGAGATGAACTGCAGGTGTGAGGGGGATCCCCAGTACCAGAGAAATCAGAGCAAGGGGAACACAGGTCCTCACCAGTTGTTGTACCACTGAGGAATGACAGGACAGGACCTCAGCCCAGGCAAGCCATCTCCAAGTCCCAGGGTGCCAACGGAGGCCCCACGTGAGCTAGGAGGAAGGAGGGTGGCCCTGTGCATCCCAGAGCTGGGGCGCTCCTGAAGGCTTCCGGGGAGCAGAGGCTCACCTGAGGGTATCAAAACCAGAAGTCCTTGTGCTCGGTCAGTTTCCCCTTCTACTCATGCTCCATGTGAGTTTTCTGAAATGCAGCAAATCTGATCATGTAGAGTCCTGCTCCCCCTTTCAGTGGCTCCCTAGGGTCTTCAGAAGCCACCCTGACCCTCTGGCCTGCATCTGAGAGCCTTCAAGGCCTTGGCTCCTGTGAACTTACAGACTGTGGCCACCCCATATTTTCTTTCCCTTCTGGGCTGTGACCACATATGCATTGCTTAATTCGGAGCCCCAAGAAGGCTTACCCCAGGGCTCTGTGACTAGAAGGGCTGAGTTCAAGTCCTGTCTTCTCTACTTGTCAGGCGTGTGGTCTTGAACAGAGCTCATACCTTCCTGAGCCTCCGCTTCCTCATCTATGAAATGGGAGCAGGGACAGGACTTCTTCTCCTGGGAGTGTTTCAGATGCAATAGCTCAATACGTGTGCACAGCCCAGAGTGCCTGGTACAGAGAAGAGCTTGAACACTGCGCGTTGTTGTTGTTATGGCCAAACTGGCTCTTGAGAAACAAAGGCCTGGGTAGCAAGCCTCCCTCGCCCCATCCCCTCAGGCAGCGTGTTTGTGTTAATCAGTTCTTCTCCGCTCTTAGCCACATAACAACAGATGGCAGAACCCCTACCTTGGGGCATTTATTTATCCAACAAATATTAAGTGCCAGGCCCTGTGGTAAATGTAGGAGATGCGTTAATAAATAAAATTGACATTTCCGCTAACCTGGGGGCGGGGCTTACATCTAGCACGGGAACAAGACATGAATCAGAGTCACATGAATAAATGTGTGATTACAAATGGTAATGGGGTCTCTGAAGGAGTATCATGGCATTGTGACTATGATAATGGGGAGGGGGTGTTTCTCTCTTCCACTGGGTCATAGAAGATTCTGGAAGGAAGCAATGATTGAGCTGACTAGAAGTTGGCCAGGTGAATATGGGAGAAAAAGTGTCCACGACAGCAGGAAAGGCATGTGCAAAGAGCCTGTGGAGAGAATCAGAAAGCCAGAGTCCCAGGGTCCCTAAGAGCAGAGTGCAGACCAAGGCATGGAGCGGCTGTGTACTGAATGCTGATGGCCCCCACCAGTTGCCTGGGGTGACATTGAGACCAGAGGCCAGCAAACTATAGCCTATGGGACAAATGTAGCCTGTTACAGATTTCCATCTGTCCTATGATCCAAAAATGGTTTTTATGTTTTTAAACAGTTGAAAAAGTCAAATAAGATATCACCTTAGGGGCCGGGTTGTGGCTCAGTGGCAGAGCACTTGCCTAGCAGGTGTGAGGCACGGGGTTTGATCCCCAGCACCACATAAAAATAAATGAAATAAAAGTATTAAAGGTATTGTGTGAATCTACAACTAAAAAAAAGAGAGAGAATAATATCTCACATTTTGTGTGCTCTGGTTTGGATATGAGGTGTCCCCCAAAAGCTCATGTGTGAGACAATGCAGGGACATTCAGATTGCAAAGGTTGTAACCTAATCAGTGGCTTAATCCTCAAGTATGGATTAACTGGGTGGTCACTGAAGGAGGTAGGGTGTGGCTGGAGGAGGTGGGTCACCGGGGGCCTGCCCTTGAGGTTTGTATTTTGTCCCTGGTGAGCACCACTCTCTCTGCTTCCTAGTGGCCATGTCCTGAGCGGCTTTCCTCCACCACACCCTGCCCTCCTGAGGTCCTGCCTTACCTCTGGCTGAGGGCAATGCAGTCGGCTGTCTGTGAACTGAGACCTCTAAAATCATGAGCCCCAAATACACTTTTCCTCCTCTAAATTTGTTCTCACCAGGTCTTTTGGTCACATTGGCAAACAAGCCCACTCTAGCGATGTGAAAATTGTATGAGATGCAAATTCCAGTATCCATAAGTAAAATCTGGGAGCAGAATCACATTTATTCATTTAGATACTGTCTGTGGCTGCGTCTGCTCAGTGACATTAGAGTGGCATAACTGTAACAGAGACAGTATGAACCACAAAGCTGAAACTATCCACTAACTGGCCCTTTGTAGAAAACCATCATGGACGCCTGCTCTAGACCCTTCCAGTCCTGCTGTCCTTGCTATGCTCAGGGACCAAGGGTCCAGAGCCGCCCTGATCTACCACTCCGGTTCCCAAGCTGTGCCTCTGACTGTGCCCACCCTGTTCTCTCCCCTCAGCCTGCCAGAAGGGAGTAGCCATGCTACAGAAGGAGCTGGAAAAGATCAAGATTCCTGACTTCTCTGGAAACTTTAAGATCCAACACTTGGGGAAAGGGTATTACAGCTTCTACAGGTGAGGCTTGTCCACGCCTAGCCCTCACTAGGCAGGACTCTCCTGGGGCCACCACTGCCACAAGCTCCTCAACTCCTGGAGTCTGGGATCCCAAAGCCAGTGTTGACACCATTCCCAACAGGATGCCATCCCCCCTCCCCAAGCCAATTCTGGAGGAAGCTGCAAAAGCTGCCTTTCTGGAACTCTCTGCAACTCCCAGGGGATATGTAGTAAACCCTAAAACTCTCTGTCAGGTCCATGTATTAGAATTTGGGGGAGTTTCAAAGACAAAAAGTCTAATCTTGCCAGGTGTGGTGGCGCACACCTGTAACCCAGAGGTTTGGGAGGCTGAGGCAGGAAGATCAAGAGTTGAAAGCCAGCCTCAGCAACTTAGCAAGGCCCTAAGCAAGTCAGCAAGACCCTGTCTCTAAATAAAATATTTTTTAAAAAGGGCTGGGGCTGAGGCTCAGTGGTTGAGTGCCTGAGTTCAATCCCTGGTACAAAAAAACAAAAAAACAACAACAACAAAAAAAAACTGATCTCAAATGACCCAAACCAGAAGTTAGGAACTCATATGATTGCAAAGTCTCTGGTCTTATCTGACACTTCAGGTTCGGCTTGAGCCAGGCTCAAATGTCACAGGACCCTGTTTCTCTCTTGCCATCTCAGCGCAGCATCATGTTCTCAGAGAGGACTAATTCTGGGGCACAGTGCCCTCTCCAGAGACAAGGTAGCCCCCAGTAACTCTCACTTGACCGCCTCAGCACTCTCAGTCCCTGAAGAACAGGGCCTTCTCTGAGAACTCAAGCAAAACCCCAAGGCTCGTTCTGATTGGCCTGTCTTAGGTCATGTACTTGCCCCTGAACCAATCGCTGTGGCCAGGGGAACAGACTCCACTCATTGGCTAAGCTTAAGTTACAAGCTCCACCTCCTGAATGTGGACATCAACTCTCTTCCGAGAGGCAGGGAACAGCTATGGGAGGAGGTCCCCCAAAGCAGAATGAGGCAGTTCTGTTATCACCAGAGGCTGGGGATAGTGACAGAAGACGTTGTCTACAGTGTTACACACCCCATTCATTCAATGAATAGTTTGAGCACCTACTGTGTGTCTCACACATGTCACCTGGCCAACCTCAAATCAAGAGCAGGCTCTGGGGCTATGGTGGAGACCACACATTCTACCCTTTACAGAGACACATAGTCAGTAGCTTAACATTTGGTGTCTTCATTGATAGACACACACACACACACACACACACACACCGCACAACAGAGGTGGCTGTGCCATTTTACAAATGAGGACACTAACTAAGGCTCAGGGTAACTACATGATAGACCCAGGTTCACACAACAGGACATTATAGACTGAGAGTCACATGCAGGTGTGTCTTGCCTCTGAAGCCCAAGCCACTCCTGTGCCCAGGTATCCCCAAGACTGTTCTCAGAGCTCATGGCTCCTTCTGGAACGGGTGGGGTGAAGGGCTTTGCTGCGTCCCCAGACAGGCACCCAGGAAGCTGACTGAACTTTTTTCCTTTGCAGCATGACCATCCTCGGATTCCAGCTTCCCAGTCCCCAGATAAGACTGGAGCCCCAGGTGGGCCTCAGACTCTCCATCAGCAAAGCCAATGTGAAGATCAGTGGGAAGTGGAAGGGAAAAAAGAATTTCTTGTGCGTCTTGCACCTGGGGTTTGTTGGGTGCACTCTGAGTGATTTGGGAAGGGATGAGATCCAGGGGGCAGGCAATGCCGTACTTTTGCCCAAATTACTATTTGTAGCCACAGAGTTCCTCTGCGGGAAGTTCTCACCTAAGATGATTTAACATAACGCTCCGTGGAAAGCTGAGCATTTGTCTATCTCAACGTGGAACACAGCGAGGCCCCTGGTCCTGTGGCTCAGAGTGGGAAGCCAAATGGGGCTTTTCATTCATCAGCTAGCTAATGCCCTGTAACAAAACATTCCAAGGCCAGTGGCTTAAAAAAATCATGCATCTGTGCACTAACTGGCGCTTGGCTGATCCAGGCAGGCCCTCTGAAGGCCTAGGCTGTGAAATGGCCCACAGTCACTTCTATTCATATCTCATTGGCCAAAGCATGTCACCTGGCCAACCTCAAATCAAGAGCAAGAAAACATACTGATCCCCACCACCTGACACACAGGAGCCTGCCCGATAGTCATTATGGCCCAGACCAAATGATCACTTCGAGGACATGTCCCTTCTGGGGAACCTGAGGAGGAAATGCAAGAGAAGCCACACCAGGTGAAGGGAGGACTGGTGGGTCTGCCACTCCCCTCCAGAACAGTTACCCAGTTCTTGGCCCCCCGGCTCTTTTGCATCTCTCATTTCACATATTGATTAAAATAATAATAATAATAATAATAATAATGCATCACACAAGCATTGACAGATAAGTGCACTCTTATCTAAAATCCATTCCATCCCTGAGGGAGGAGTTATTGGCCTCATTCATTCATTAATGGGGGCAGTAATTGCCTGAAGTCGGTGGCTGCAAACACTCAGAATTTTAGTGACAAAACTGAGACACATACTCTAGTGTCCGACTGCTAGAACACACCTCCAGGGCCCTCCCCACTCCAGGCCTGGTCCAGAGGCCTGGGAGGGTGAGCCACTCGGAAGGTGAAGCAGACACTGTTCCTGCCTCAAGGTCCAGGGTCTGGATGAGAAAATAGAAGCTCAGAGAAGTTAAGAGACCTGCCCAAAGTCACACAGCAAGGGCAGTGGCTGAGGGATCTGCCAGGCAGACACGGGGTCCAGAAGTTGGGTTAGAATCCTGACTACTGCTCAGAGCTATGTGACCTTGGGCAAGGTGCCTCCTCTCTGTGCCCTGTCCACTCTGCCTTGGAGTGTGGATACCAGGGAAGCCCACCTCCAACCCTGGTGTGCGTGTAAGTATGGAGGGGGAAAAACACCCTCTTCAAGCTGCTTCTCTGTTTCCCTTCAGCTCAGCCAGTGGCAAGTTTGACCTGAGCATAGAAGGCGTCTCCATTTCAGCTTTTCTGAACCTGGGCAGTGACCCCACCTCCGGCCACATCACGGTGGCCTGCTCCAGCTGCGGCAGCCACATCAGCAACACCCGCCTGCGCATCTGGGGCAGCACCATGGGGTAGGGCTTCCTGGGGCTCGGCTGGGAGGGGGGACGGGAGGAGAGCCGTCCCCTCCATCCCCGAGTCTAGGAAACACACCTCCAGGGCCCTCCCCACTCCAGGTTGGTCCAGAGGCCTGGGAGGGTGGGTCACAGGGAAGGTGAAGCAGACACTGTCCCTGCCTCAAGGCTACAGGCCCTTCCCACGCCCCGGGCCTATGCCGAGCCCCTTCTGTCTGTGCTGAAGGACCTGGCCCCAAGTGTGTGGGCACAGTGCATCGTCCATTCCACAGATATCTACTGAGAATCAGGGGTGCACCAGACCCTGACGGCACACAAGGAAACAGGGGTGCCTCATCAAAACTTGGTAACACGGAGCATCCAGTGGAGGCTTCCTGTGGGCCAGGCGCTGTTGTGGCACCTACTGTATTCAGTCAGTGCACACAGTGACTTGATGATGTGGGTCGATTATTACCCCATTTTCGGGGGGGGGGGGCGGAACCAAGGCACAGAAAGAATGGGAAGTGGCCTACTTCTGCAGCTTGTCAGTGTTCAATTCAGGACTCTCTGTCCCAGACTCAGCCACACAGCCCTGATCTCTTAATGTTCCCAGTTCAATGGAGGAGACAAACATTAATCACACCATTGCATTCATGAATGGCTCACCTGTAATTATAAAAGGAGATAAAAACTAAGAAGAAGAGTACAACACGCAGTGAACACAGAACAGGAAGAACAGACTCAGAACCCGGCTGGCTGGTTCTTCTGGATGAAATGACAGTTGAATTGAGATAAAAAGGATTAAGTAGGAGTTAATTAGGCAGATGTTAGGGATGGAGGGCGGGTGTTTTAAGCAGTGGTGAGAACAGCATGTGCAAAGGTACTGGGATGGGAGGAAGTATAGGTCACAGAGGATAGGGCAGACCAGTGTGCAGAGTAGTGGGGCAGTGGTGAGGAAGGGGACTGAGATGGGGGCAGGGGCCTGGCTGTGCAGCTACCAAGGAACTAACCCCATAGCAGATTACTACAAACAGGGGGAGACATGTCCAATGGGGGGTGCTCAATAGGTGCCTGGGCTGAGGGTGCCAAGGCCTGTTTGGAGGAGGGGGAAGACTTCCCAGGTGAGGCACCTCCTGAGTCCAGCTCAGGGACACCTGGAAGCCACACATGTGTCCCTACGTGTCAACCCCTAGGTGGCTGATTCAACTCTTCCATAAGAAAATCGAGTCATCTCTTCGAAACACCTTGAACAGCAAGGTAGGAGGGGCCGGAGAGGGAGGCCCTGGGAGCCACACACCTCTTGTCACTAGAGTCTGAGGCAGGAGACAGGACTCCAGGGTCCCGCAGAGCAGGTCTGGCCTCTGACTCCCCAGAGCAGACAGAGAGGTGATGGAGAGAAGCTGATTAAGGAGCGTGAGAGCCCGTGTCACATCAGGGTCCTGGGGGCGCTGACGGGAGCTGGGGGTTTAACTAGTGGGTTTAACCAGAGGGCTGCAGGAGGACGCAAGCCTGGTCACAGTGTGTTCTGGTGGGTCATGGTCACTTCTAGTGCTGTGAGGTGGCTCCAGGGAAGCCTTTTGTCACTTGAGGGGACAGTTTCCACTTGCTGCTCAGGATGCATCTGTCAGACCTGCAATATTGGAAGGGGACCATTCATTTCCGTGTTTTTTATTTTTATTTTTATTTTTCATTTGTTGTTTTTAGCTACCCATGACAGTAGCGTGCATTTTGACATGGTACACAAGCACAGAGCCGAACTCCCATGCCTGTGGTTGTCGCCGGTGTGGGGTTGCCGGGGTCGTGCGTTCCCACATGAACATGGGAGAGTTCGGTCCCAGTGGCTCCACTGCCTTTCCTACCCGCTTCCCTTCATTCCCTTTTGTCTGATCCAATGAACTTCTGTTCTCCCCCTCAGCCCGCCCCCCTTGTTGTGTGTGAGCCTCCGTGTGTCACAGAGGACATTCGGCCTTTGGATTTGGGGGACTGGCTTATTCCACTTGGCACTGCAGTCTCCAGTCCCACCCGTGGACAATTCCTTTCCCGTGGGACAGTTGCTCCTGCCTGGCCTGGGGCAGGGGGTGGGGGGACAGTCCATCCTAGGAATGAGCCCCCTGGCTCCGCCGGGGTGGGCAGCTGCTGGAGACTTTGACACAGGTGGCTGCAAATCCTGCCTCAGTCTCAAGCGGGATGAGCCCAGCCTGGTGCATGTAGGGCTGGCAGTCACTGTGGTCCCAGTTTAAGTGACGGACGTGGCTACAGGCAGAGATGAGGAGCAGGCACCTGGCCTGAAGTTTGGAGGCTCCATTCTAGGGTCTGGAGGGGAGGCAGGACACCATGGCAGAAGAGGGTGGCGGAAGGAAGAGCTCTCGTGGTGGTGAGGAGCAGAGAGACTCCACTGGCCAGATGCAAATATATACCCCAAGCCACGACCCCAGCTCCCACCCCCTCGGCCACACCTTCCACTCCAGCTACCAATCAGCTGATCCCAGTCAAGGGATTGAGTCACTGATTGGCTAAGACTCCACCCCAATCGTTTCTCCTCCAAACCTTCTTGCATTCTCTCACAGGTGAGCTTCTGGGGGACACTTCACAGCCAAACCCTAACAGTCCTCAAGAGCGTGTCCCCGAGACTAGTTCCTCTAGCCACGCCCCGCTTGCCTACCGTTACCACGCAGCAGTCCCTTCAAATTATTAGTCTAGCCAATGGATTAATCCACGGATGGGGTTACAGTTCTCATCATTGCCTAAAAGCTTCACCTTTAAACCTTCCTGAATTTGGGGACCATGCTTTCAACACGTGAGCTTTTCAGGGCATATTCCAGATACAAATCATAACACTACCTCGTGTTTTTGTGTCTTCACCACCTCATTCCATGAAGAATCTGAGACCATAAAAACAGACGCAAGAAAAACAAGACAGCCATCAACAAAGAACCCCACCTTACAACATAGAAAACCTAAAATTCATCAGGGAAGGGCCACACCAGGGAAACCGAATGCAGGTCACACGACTGTATACAGTTGTTATTTCTAAGCTGCCTGCTGAACTCTGAGCTTCCTGGTGCACAGAAAGGAGAAAGGGAAACTTGATTAGCAACATGATTTTCAGGAGGACATTCATGTGGTGTCTAGAAGCGCGGCCTTTGAGAAGGAATTAGGATTAAATGAGGACTTGAGAGTGGGGCCCTCATGATGAAACAGTGGCTTTATAAGAAGAGGTGGAGGGACCTCAGCTAGAATGCTGGCTCTATCTGGGAATGTGAAGCCCCCCACCATGTTAGGATGCAGCAAGAAGGTCCTCCCTGGTGGGCTCCCCAGGCAGGGCCCAGTGCGACACCCTTGGTCTTCACAGCCTCCAGAACTGGGATTTAAATAACCTTCTATCTATCTATCTATCTATCTATCTATCTAAATTACCTGGTCTCAGGTGTTTTGCTACAGCACAGAAAATGAACCAAGACAGCATGTCTCTGCACCACTGTGTCCAAAGAGCATTTCCCACTACAGTTTCCTTCCTTGGTTCTCCCTAGATCTGCAAGTTTGTGGCCAATTCTGTGTCCACCAAGCTGCAAGCTTATGTCAAGAATTTTCCAGGTGAGAACTGGGTGGAGACTGAGGATAGAAAGGAATATAAAGGGGAGGGGGAGGGAGGCAGAGTGGGTGTGACAGGCCTGGTCCTGAATGGGAAGGGACAGAGCTAATTTCAATCTGCAGTGGCACTGAGCCAGGTCCTTGATGTGAGATGGAACAGCCCATTCTCCCAGCCCAGCAGGGGCCAAAAGGCCAGATACCCCAGTTTGCCTCCCCACCCCAGTACTGAGGATTGAACCCAGGGGTGCTCTACCACTGAGCCACATCCCTTGTCCCTTTCTATTTTTTTACTTTGAGACAGGGTCTTGCTAAGTTACTGAGGCTGGCCTCAAAGTTCTGAGCCTCCTGCCTCACCCTCCCGAGTCACTGGGATCACAGGTGTGCACCACTGCTCCCAGGTAGATACCCCAGCTTTCTGAGGCCACAGTTAAGTAACTGGCCTGAAATCTGACACTGGTCACTTTTTCTGGACCTCGGTTTCTACAGCCTTAAAATGGGGACAGACCTGTGGCAAGCTGCCGAGAGCAGCGGCAGGCAGGGGACCTCCTCTGGTGAGTGTTCACCACATTACAGACACTCAGCCTCCCCGCCCCCACCCCCAGCCGGGCACTACTCTCTCCACTTCCCATGAGGAAACAGGAAACGGAGGTTCAGACAGGAGCACAGACTTGTTCAAGGTCACAAAGCCTTTACGGTTGCAGAATCCCTGTCTGGAGCTCGTCCTCTGTGCTCCAGCGGCCACCAGGGCTGCCTCCCCGCGGAGCCTGCAGGTGATCAGTCAAGATGCTTTTCCTTCTGCCAAGGCCCACATTGGCATGCTCAGAGCAGGAGCAGATCGAGATCTGGCCTGACGCAGGATCAGGTTCAGGTTGGAGCCCAGCTCCTTCAGTCTCCCACAGAGTCCCCCAGGATACCCCGGATCTCTAAGCCTCAGTGTCTTCCCTGGTTGGGCAGGAAGGGCAAAAGGAGGGGCTGGTGTTTATTTAAGTTCTCATTGATGTCAGAGAGACCCTGCAGACCCAAGCTTTGCTGATACACATCCCTCCTGGAGTCTGCACCTGTGATGGACAGGGCCAGGGGCAGGCACCTGCTCACCTGTTCCTCCAGCACCTGAAGGGACGGGTACCACCCCCATGTTACAAATGACCCAAAGTGGCTCAGAGAAGCTCAAGGACTTGTTCAAGGTCACGCAGAGTCCATTCACAACTATGTCTCTCCCCTCACCCTGTAGGGCATCTTTTGTTAGTTTGTTGAGTCACTCATCCTGGGGCTGTTGGAAGAAGGGCATGGGACGGTTCTGTGAATGTGGGGTGAGGGTTCACTTCCTTTAAGGGGAGTCAGGGAGGCCTCTCTGGAGGAGGGGAGTGGAGGTGGCACCTCAGTCTTGATCCAGGCTTAGGGGACACTGCCCCTGCTTCCCAGCTGGGAGCCAGCTCATGGTCCATCCTCTCTCCTCTAGTGACCACCCAAATAGATGCTGTGGCTGGGATTGACTACCGTCTGGTGGCACCTCCGATAACCACAGCTGAGAACCTGGACGGGCAACTGAAGGTGAGGCTGACCCCAAGAGTCACATCCAGTCACACTTCAACCTCGGTCCCCACCCTGGAGCCCCCGTAATCCTTGGATAGCAATCTCCCACAGACTCACCCCGCTTCCTGTCCTCCTCCCTCTCTCTCCATGCTCCCCTGCCACCCGCCTCTGGCAGGCAGGTCTCCTGCTCTTTCAGACACACTCTGCCTACCCCCAGGGCCTTTGCACTTGAGGGTCCCTCTGCTGGGGGTGCTCCCCCACCTCAGGAATCCACACAAGTCTCCCCTGCTTCCTTTCTGTCTTTGTTCAAATAGCCGCCCCCCTCTGCTTCTCCCACACAGTGCTTTCTCTCAGCAGAGCTGATTACTAGCGTGTACACACACATGCACACGCGCACACGCGCGCACACTACGACCAGAGACAAGGGGCTGAGACTACTTTGTTCATTACTGTATGTGCAGCACCTAGAACCTGCTTGGCACTAGTAGGAGCTCAGTCATATCTGTTGGGTGGACGGATGAATGGAGTCCCATTTGGGGTACTTCCCTTGGTGCGCCACCCACAATCAGACACACTCAGCTCTCGCTCCCACCCCAGGGTCTCTGTCCTAGCTTTCCCTCTGCCTGAGCCCCTGCTCCTCACAATGCCATCTACCTGCCCTGGCTGCTGCCTCCACTCCAGCGGGTCTCTGCTTAGCTGTGGCTCCCAGAGCAGCTGTCCCCACCACCCAGCTGGCTGGGTCTCACCCCCTGAAACTCACTCTGGACGGCTTGAGCTCCGTCAGTCCTTCCGTGACTGGTGATTTGCTCCCTTGTTTACATTTGGCGAAAACGTATTTGATGTAAAAAAAAAAAAAATTGAGGAACTGTAGAGAGATGGAGAAACGGAGCTAAATAAACAGGAAGGGAGGAAGGAAGGGAAGGAGGGGAAGGGAATGGATGGAGAGGTGAAGAGAAAGGGGGTGGAGATCACCCAAACCCTGCAACCCAGAGCCAGCACTATCAATGCACAAGTGCAGACGTCCCACTGCAGGTGTAAACCAAGGCATGGGAAAATGCATGCACACGCCCAGGCACAGAAACACGAAGACACACATATAGAAACAGAAATGCACACACATACGTGTTTGCACAAGTCATGGTATACACACTGCTTTCCAGAGCATCAGAACAGAAATGTACAAAGGGGACAGCTTCCCACACCATCTTTTTTTTTTTTTTTTTTGGTCCTGGGGATTGAACCCAGGGGTGCTTTACCACTGAGCCATATCTCCAGCCCTTTTTATTTTTTTATTTTGAGACAGGGTCTCACTAAATTGCTGAGACTGGCTTTGAACTTGCAAACCTCCTGCCTCAGCCTCCTGAGCCGCTGGGATGACAGGCGTGCACCATGCCCAGCTCCATGAAATGTCCTTTTATAGGCTGTTCCGTCTTCCAGTGGACAGCGTGGGATAAGGTGTGTGGACAGTGGCCCCCACCTGCGACATCTGGACTCTTTGCATTTTTTCCCCACAAACCTAACCAGTTCTTACCCACACTGGCCTTTTTGCCTGTCGCTCAGTATACCACCACCGGAAGGATGAGTTTCGCAAGAGAATCATGCACGAGGTGGCTGAGTGTGGGGGATACGGAAGACCCAAGCCCAAGTCTCAAATCTGCCTCCCTGAGGACCGGGGGGTGGGCATATTTATGGGCTGGGTGCAGGGGAAGACCACCAGAGGTTAACTAAGGGCAGGTCCTGCAGGTGACCTCTAGGAAAGCAGGGAAGGGCAGGTGAAGCCCAGCCAGGGGCTGGGGAGGGAGGTGAGCGGGAGTTGTTCAGGTTTTGCCTGGACTTTCAGTCCTCCGCTGTGTCTCTGCCCATTCTCAAATGCTTCCTAACGGTGGAGCTGCTGGCGCAGGCTGCATGCTTAAAACACACACGGGTAAGCGATGAGATGGAGGTAAAAGGCCAAAACGACTTGTAATGACCCCAGTGAATGGGAAAGGCTGTTTACTTCCTGGGCTCCTGTGGGGGTGTCAGCCGCCTCGGTCCTGGGTTCTAGGTTCTAGGCACCCACACTCAGGTCTTGCTGAGGACCACCCTGCTTGCGTTTCTCACCTAACAGTAACTGTGGGAGATAGCTCCTGGCAGAACACAGGTCTCTCTTCTTCTTTTTTTTTTATTAGCTTTATTTTCTTCATTTTTCTTTACGTGGTGCTGAGGATTGAACCCAGGGCTACACAGGGGCTAGGCAAGTGCTCTGCCACTGAGCTACAACGCAGCCCGTTCTTATTATTTTTAAGAGTCCTGTCGTATCCCATAGTAGGGGCACTGTGGCCACTCATTTTCAACGATGGCACTTTTAAAGGCGCAGAGAATGGTACAGTCCCAGGTATGCACCACCCAGATTGGAAAAAATGTGACATTTTGTCCTATTTGATTTTTTTTTCTTTTAATTGTGGAAATAACTTCCCAGGCCCCTGTGGCCACCCCCTGCCAACCCCGCCCACCTGCCTCTGCACCCCTCACCCGGGGACCCGTGCTGACAGTGGCACGTCTATTTCTGGCCAGTGTTTCTATACTTTCATCAACCTTTACATTTTACATAGCTAGTCTCCTACCCTATGGATCCTTCTATAATTTGCTTTTCAAAGCTCAACATTATTTCTCGAGCTAAATAAACAATCTACTTTTGTAACCTGTGATCAAATGGCTCTGTAGAAATAGACACGGGTCCCCAGCCACATAGGAGCCCTCTCACAAAAATGGAGCAGGGTCAGCTTAAAATGCACACAGCACTCCAACTGGTGTAGCTCTTTTCAAATTCCCTAACAGGAAACAAGCAGAGCCTCTCTGTTCTCCTGATGGGCTCTGCGGGGCTCCGTGGGGGTGGATCCAAGAGCGCGTGCACTGGACCCTGAGAGCCTGGGTTCAATTCCTGAGCTCTGGGAACCTGGGCCAGTAACTTCACCTCCCTGTGCCTCCATGTCCCCTCCCATACGATGAGCAGAACTGCACCCTCCACAATTGACATGCTCCTGGAAATCAGCCCCACGAGGAGTCTGCTGCTGTGGTTAGTTTTCTGGTCATTGCTTTTCCTCGGTCTGGGCGGGGTCCTCAGCCCATCTTCCCGTGGGCTGGAGATGCTGACTTAGACCTTCTGCAAGATTCCTGAGGCTTACCCTGTCCCTCCACCTCCAGGGGGAGTTTTTCAGCCAGGCACACCGCAGCCCACCTCCCTTCACCCCGCCGGCAATGGCATTCCCCGAAGACCACGACCGCATGGTGTACCTGGGCATCTCCGACTACTTCTTCAATACGGCCGGGCTCGTGTACCAAGAGGCTGGAGCCCTGAAGCTCACCCTCCAGGACCACATGGTAAGACTGAGCGGAGCGCATGCAGGAGCCACACCTTCTGGACTTGAAGCTTTGCTCACCCGACCTGAGTTAGATTGCTGGTTCTAGTCCTCTACAGCTGGGTGACTCTAGGGCGGTCACTCAACCTTTCTGAAGCTAAGTTTTGTCATCAATAATAGCACCCTCCTCCCTAGAGCGTCATGAGAGTTAAATGAGATATGATGCCTCAGAGGCACCCGCCCAGGGCAGGTGATGAGAAAGGAATCCTGAGCACCTGGAGGGTCAGAGGCTAACCCAGTCTCAGCCTCACTTCTGCACAACCCTCCTCCTCTTCATTGTCTCTGTCACAATGGCTGAGTCTAACTCACGGCTCAGGTCACCTCTCTATATGTGAGGAAATGACCCTCCTTTCCAGGGTCTAGGGACAGCCTGACCCCAACCTGGCCACCCCCCAGTGGGGCTCCTCGGGCTGCTCCTGCCCCAGACATCAGATTCCGGATGCCAGAGGCACGTGAGCTCCCACGTGCTCACTGTGGACACTAATGGAGACCACCCACGTGGGGACCCCAAAGGCTGAATGTTCACAGCAGAGAGTCCACCCCAACACTTGTTCAAAGGTGGGTGGGGAGGGGATCTTGGCGAGGACAGGGAAGCCCTGCGCTGTGGTTGGCATGGGGCAGCTGACTCAAGGGGGTGCCCCACGTCCTCGGTTGGGCCAAAGATTGAGGCTTCTCAGGGGCAAGAAGTGAGGGACCTAGCAGTCACTGGCCACATCTATCAACCTGGCCAATGGCTGCTGAGGCTGTAGGTCACGGTGCTATTATCACCTATGGTCTGGGCTTTGTGCTTTGGCATAGCCACTCTCCCCACACCCCACCTGTAACAGAATCCCTGAGGACCGTTTCTCCTCTCTCCCTATAGATGCCCAATGGATCCAAATTCCTACTGACAACCAAGTCCCTTGGAAACGTCCTTCCTCAGGTATGAAGGGCTCGCTCTCCTGCCCTCCGCTCCCGAGGTAGCCTGGGCTCCTGGAGAGGCTGAGGCCCCTCAAGACCCAGAGGCAACCCCACTGAGGGCAGAGGCAGCTTCGTGCAGCCCCTCTGGGTCAGAGACAGGCACCCGGCTCCCCATGGCTGAGGCTGGGTGGGGGGACAGGGGACTCAGCCACTGTACAGATGCTCACTGCGTGCCCAGCTGTGCCCAGCAAATCAGACCATGTGCTTGCCCACGGCAGCTCCCCACCCTGTGGGGAGAGAGATGATGAGAAACGAGACAGGCTGTGACAAGTGACACCCAGGGGGCTGAGGTGGCTTGGGTGAAGGTGGCCACGGCAGAACTCTGAACAAGCCCACTCAGGCTGCTGGGACAAAACACCCGGCACCGGGTGGCTTCTAGAGCAGAGCTCTGCTTCACTGCGGCGGAGACAGAAGGTGGAGATTTTATGCCTGGCGATGTGGCTGCTGTACTTGGGTGGCCTTTCTTCAGGGCGCGCGTAGGGGTGGATGGAGAGCTCTGGGGTCTCTTCTGATAAGGGCACTAATTCCGTGAGCCCGGGGCCACGCACGTGCCTTCATTTAGCAAAACTCCCTTCCTTACAGGCCGTGTCTCCAAATACAGCCACACCCGGGGTCAGCGCTCTAACACTTGAGTTTAGGGAAAGGGGACACAAACTTTCCACTGTAACAATCTCTCTACTACTAGTCAGCTTTTTGTCACTGTCACTGAAATACCTGAAAGACAACTTGGAGGAGGCTGATATTTGTATTGGCTCATGGTTTTGGGTTTCAGTCCATGGTCAGCTGGCCCCAAGGCAGAACATCATGGCGGAAAGGTGAGAGAGGGAGGGAGAGGAGGAAGGGGCTAAGACAAGGGCAACCTCCATGACCTACTTCCTCCAACTAGGTCTCACCCCCCAGCAGTCCATCCAGTTATCTGTGGATTGATCCACCAAATGGATTAATCCACTGATGAGGTCTGAGCCCTCACTAATCAATGCCTGAACTGAACCTGGCTGCCTTTGGGAATCACACTTTCAACACAAGAGCTTTGGGGGGACATTCAAGATCCAAACCCTAACATGGCAGCATCTCAAGAAATTTATATAGAGGAAAGTACTGGTGTTGGGGGGGACGTTTAGCCGGTAGAGGTCCTGGGAGAATTGTCTTGATGTGGTCTTTGCATTATAGTTGTAGTAGTAGTAGTAGTACTGGGGATTGAACCCAGGGGCGCTTTACTACTGAGCAACATCCTCAGCCTTTTTTTTTTTTTTTTTGAGACAGTTGCTGAGGCTGGCCTTGAACTTGAGATTCTCCTGCCTCAGCCTCCCAAGTTGCTGAGATTTCAGGCATGTGCCACTGAGCCCAGCAACAGTTACATTAGTTTTACTCAGTCTGGGCTCACCTGGGGAAGAACAGGAAGCTAGCGGAGAGCAGGGAGGGTCTCCAAGACCCTCCTTATTTCTTCTGGAAGCCGCTAATGCTCTCTGAGGAGGTGACATTTGAACTCAGACCTGAAGGAAGAGAAAGAGCCAGAATAGGGAAGAATGATGGACAAGCATCCAGTGAGAGGGAACAGAGAATGCAAGAGTGCTTGTTGCATTGGAGGAGTGGACAGAGTTCCATGTGCCCAGCAATGGAGGACAGGAACAGAGGGGTGTGGAGGGAGGTCAGCCAGGTGCCAGTGCCAGACCACATGGTTATTTGAATTTATTCTAAGAGACATGGGAAGACACTGGAGGTGCTTATGCCATGGAAGGGCAAGATAGAATTTAGGAACATGTGTGTGAAATGTAAACCTTTTTTGTTGATTGTCCCTACTGGGCGCTGCAGGTGGCCAAGATGTTCCCCAACATGAAGGTGCAGCTCCAGGTCTCCGTCTCGACCCCACCACAGCTGAACATGCAGCCCACAGGCCTTACCCTCACCCCGAAGCTGGAGGTCCAGGCCTTTGTGATCCTCCCCAACTCCTCCCTGGCCCCCCTCTTCCTGCTCAGCATGGTAAGCTGCTCCAGGTGAGGGCAGAGGGCAGCTCTGTTCTTGGAGTCAGGGGACCGAGTATGAATCCCACCTGGATTCCAGCCTGGGTAGTGTGACTCCAGAGCCTCAGACCAGAGCCACTGTCCCCGTCCACTCCTGGCTCCCACCTGCGTCCGTTCACCCGGCACCCACTGAGTCTTTGCTTTTGCAACCACCCAAGCTGTCATTCAAATATGTCTGCTGACTCCGATTCATTCACTCACGTCTGTGGCCATTTAATCAGGCATCTGTGCATTGTTTTCACCCATTCATTCATTTATTTACTCAGTTATTCATTCATTCAATTATTCATTACATTGCTGGTCAATTGTTCGTTGGCGGTGCCACCTTCACCGACCACACCTTTGTAGCATCTGTGATCTGTCCGTGTGCTCGTCCATCTTCCGTTCATTCCTGTCTCCGCACCGTGCGTTCCTTGCTTTCCCCTCCATTTGCGGATTTGCTTGGTCCTCCATGTTCAGGATCTCATTCCCTCGCTGGTTTGCACTTTTATTCACTTGCTACCTTCTTGCTCCACCGACACTTGGGAGGGTGGGTTCCTACAATGCCCAAGGGCTGCTTTATAGCTGGTGTGGCCTCCGGGATGGGTCCAGATTCTCTCCCCATCCGTGGGGGCTGGGCACTTAGAGGCACTTTGCAGATAAAATGGGTTCTCAGGGGGTCGTCAAGCTCAGAGTCTGTGAATCCGTGAATGAGCGCTGTGAGACCCAGAGCTGGCCTGGACTCCAGCCCCCAGGTCTGTCTCACACGGTCCCTCCCAGAGTGGCTGGGAAGTTCTAAACTGCTTCCAGAGCTGGGGAGAGGATGGATGCTGGCTGATGGTCCCGGAGTAATCCACACCACGGAGCACAAGCAGACCTCCCTGCTCCTTGGGGACCAGCCACGCAGGCTGCTCTGCAGAGCCTTCGAGGAGCTGAGCCCTCTCCGCCATCCTGGGGGCTTGCAGAGCCCCAGGCCCCGGGCTCAGGCTCATCATCCTGGGTTGTTGCTTTGCAGACGGCGAGTGCTGCCTTGGAGGTCGGTGCCAGGTCCAACAGGCTTGTTGGAGAGCTGCAGGTGGACAGGTGAGTGGGGACAGGAGGGCCAGGCTGCCCATCCCTTCCTGGGGCCAATGGAGAGCAGTGACCTTACCAGGTACCAAGCACATGTCCTTGCCTCTGTTCCTCCCTCATGTGGGCCATGGACACAATCTGCCCGTTTGCAGACAGTGACGTACTCAGAGATGTCACATGTCGTAGGATGACCAACCGCTTGAGTTTGCCAAGGAAATATCCCAGCTCTAGCACTGAAGTCTTACATCCTAGGACACCTGTCCATCCCAGGCTGGCACATGGAGGGGCGGGCGGTGCCCTCTGAGGCCCATGCCACAGTGAACCACAACAGTGCCCAGCGCCCCCTGACCCTGGCCTTTCTTGGCACTGGGAAATCCCACTTCAGCTTGTTGCCCCGTCCCTGGGATTTCAACACCCAGCCCCTGCTGGCTGGGTGACAGTCCAGACCCACATGGGAGCCACGTGACAGTCACATGACTGGGTGTGAATCCTAGCACTAGAGGTTGTGGGCAGAGCTCTGACGGGAGGCTGCTGGCATTTGTAGGGCAAGCTCCAAACTCTCCCCACTTCCTCTTCCTGGCTGTACCATGGGCCTGCTAAGTATTCCTGGCCAACACTATCACCGTGAGGAGCTATTAATATGGGGGGAAGTGCCTGGAGCACTTCATAGGATATAATAGGTGCTCAATTAACAGAAGGGTCTGAGAAAGAGACACATAAAAAGATACGGAGAAAGCAAACCAGAGAAAGAGGGAGAAATTCAGAGAGAGGGACAGAGAGACACAAAGGAGGAAGGAAGGAAGGAAGGAAAGGCCTGGAGAGAAAGAGGGACAGATGGAAAAGCACGTTAAGGGGAGCCACAGACAGACATGGAGGGAGGGAGGTGGGAGAGATGGGGCCATGTGCCCACCTGATGGTGGGTCCCTGGCGCAGCGTCTGCCTCCTCACCCTTCTGTTGGGAATGAGCCTTGACCCACATTCCCGCCTGTCTCCACCTCCTCTCCAGCGCAGAGCTGTCCTTCTTAACCTTGCGCTCAGCCCCTGAGGTCTACATGCTGTTCATTTCTCCTGGTATCATTTTGACAAGTGTTACTGCTTTGGAAACATGTGGATTTAATTTGCCTCGAAACACCCACAGGCCTCTCTAGCTGAGCAGACGGAGAGGCCACAGCTGGGTGGAGCGGAGACTCTGGGAAATGGGCGGGGCTGGGGTCTGTGGGAGAATCCCTGGAGTGTGGATCCCTGCTGCCCAGCCACAGGGAACACAAGCAAAATCTTCGACCCTTTTTTGTTTCCCTGGGGTTTGAACCCGGGGCCTCTAGACCGTGAGCTACATCCCCAGCCCTTTCTATTTTTATTTTGAGATGGGATCTTGCTAAGTTGCTAAGTCTGGCCTCAAACTTTTAATCTTCCTGCTTCAGCCTCCCAAGTCACTGGGATCATGGGAGTGTGTCACTGAGGCCAGCAAGTTTTTAAAATTTGAAGGGTGTTAGACACAACAGGGATTTGGCCCCCAAGAGACTTTTTGGAAATCCTGCTTTGCTAATTGTTAGCTGTGTGGCCTTGGGCAGGTTGCTTGGCCTCTCTGAGTGCCAGTTTTCTGATCTGTAAGATGGCAGCATGGCCTTTGCCTTTTGGAATGGGACAGGAATTCAGTGGGGAACAGCATTCAACATAGTAGGTTCCGTAAGGAGTCCTGGATCTCCCTTTTTCTCTGTGATCACAGTAAAAAAATGCTGTGCAGGCTATCAAGGGCAGGGGACCAGAAAGTCCTAGACTTTCAGGCCAGAGGGGACGCAGGTGTTCAAATGCTGTGCTTGGCTCTGCTGTCCCCTGTGCTGGCTTCACGTCCTACAGGCTGTCACCAAGTGCAGCTTCCTGTCTGGCTGTAGAAAAGAGCAGCTGACGCCCAGTATTTCTAGCGGTCTTGAGACCAAGCCTTGCTGGGCCACCAGGGGTCCCAGGCCCATCCTTGAAGCTGTGACTGCAGCAGGGGACCACGCCCTGTGGCCAGCGTACCCAGGGGCCAGGTGGGGTCAGCAGCCCCCGCTCTGCAGGGAACGTGCGCCTCTCCCAAAGGAGGACACAGCGGCTGCGCGGGAAGGTGGGGGGGACACTAGGTGGGAAGCCAGGTGGCCTCAGCCAGCGGCCCTCCCCCACCTGGGCGCCCACTACTGGCTACTGGTGGCCTCACTGTCCCCTCCCTCCTCACAGGCTGATCCTGAAACTGAAGCGCTCCAACATCGGCCCCTTCCAGGTGAGTCTGAGGCCTGGGCCACTCCCCTGCCCTGACCTGGGGTGGGGGGCTCACAGGCTCCTTCCTGGCCTCACTGAGGGGCCACTGGTTCATTTGCATAGAATGCAGAGGAATTAATGGTGTGGAAACTTGGCAGAGGGTGGTTGAAATAGAGTCCTTGCTCCAGCTTCCAAACCCGGAGGCCGTGGGCAAGTCCCAGGCCTTTCCTCAGCCCCAGACTTTCCTGGCCTGAGTGAGTGTGTTGAGGCTTAAATGGGGCTAAATACACACAGTCGGTACCCACCCCCCCCAAAAAAAAACTGCTCCACAAATATTTGTTGGACAGATTAATTACTTTATTGGGCACCTACTACGTGCCCAATAAAGTAATTATGGCGATGTGCTGAGCCTTATGCAGCAGTGAGGAGACAGGGCAGCAGGGAACGAAGATTCCATCACCATCAAAGCCATGAAAACCCGAATGGGGGGAGGACAGTGAGGAGGAGAGCAAGTGTGAGAGGTGTGATCAGGACGCGTAGGTGTGTCTAGACTCCTGGCTGAGCAGCGGTGGGTAGCAGAGTCACATGCCGAGGCGAGAAGGGGCAGGTAGAGGGGACAGTATCTCCTCAGCCCAACTGGATGGTTACTTCCTGGGAAACACTGGTCACCAACAAGTAGAGCCGCCCAGAGGCCTTCACTGGGGCACTGGGAACCAGCTACCCATATTAAGAAGGCACTCAAATGCCACCTGTGTCACATGTGAAGCCCTGGGGTGGATTTTGTCCAGGGTCTTGCCACGAGGCCTGGATTCCCTGCAGGGCTCTGGTTGAACCCTTCATTGCTTTGGTGAGCATCTCGTTAGGTCCCTGAGATGCCCCCTGAGGTCCCCATCACAAAGCCTTGGAAGCCACCTAGCCCAGGAGTCAGACCTTGGCAATCCCCTCTCCAAATCTGATCAAAATCCAGCCAGCCATTTCCATCCCGAAAGGTCACATCCAGCCTGAGAGCAACCCCAGAGTGCTTCCATGGAGTGCCGGGCCCCCGCTCCTGGGGAGCGAGACTGAGTCAGGAATCGGCTTCTGCTTCTGCAGAAAATCAAAATGTGAATTTCCCAGAACTCAGATGAAGGAGGACACCACATTTGTGAGCCCAGGGAATTACAGCCCGGGAAAGGAAACTCAATTGTTGCAAAAACAAAAACATACACATTTACAAGTTGTAAATGTCACCTCTGTGGTCAGTCATCTTGATGACTTCATATTGGTTTTGAATTTTTTTTATTACTGCCAAAGCAAAAAAAAAAAAAAAAAAAATATCCACTATAGAGCATTCAGAACCTGCAAGTTTACCAAACATGGAAAATAAAAGTCATTCATATTTCCCCCACTTAATTCATAATTTGGAATATATCCTCCCTGACCTGTTGCTCTGCCTATTTAATTAAAAAAAATGACATGATATGACAGGGCCTAGTGACGCATGCCTGTAATCCCAGCTACTCAGGAGGCTGAGGCAGGAGGATCACAAGTTCAAGACTAGCCTCATCAACTTAGTAAGACCCTGAATCAAAAATTAAAAGGGCCTGGAGATGTGGCTCAGTGGTTAAGCACCCCTAGGTTCAATCCCCAGTACCCCAAAGAGAAAATATGGCATTATGTGGGCTGAGTATATAGCTCAGTAGTGACAGAGCACTTGCCTAACGTGTGAGGCCCTGGATTCAATCCCCAGGTCCAAAAGGAAAAAAGTTTTTAAAGGTATCCTGTGATTTCTGTAACAGCCTTTCCCCCACTTAAACATAGAGTGAGCATATCTCTGTGCTGATTATCATGTTTCTTTAACAATTTCTTGCATCAATGTACCATTCATTTCTCTCAAGTGACTCCCCTATTGTTGGACATGTAGATTGCTCTCAATTTATGGTTGGAGTTACTTTTTTCACTTTGGTTAGCATCTTTGCTAGATCATGTGCCTGGGATGAACACCTTGGAGGCACCTTTGCTGGCTGCAAAGGCCCACAGGTTTTTAAGGCTTTTGATGAACTGGACCAAATAGCCCTTAAAAAGGGTGATTCCATTTGTTCTCTAGCCTGCATGACTCTTTTTAAAGCAAAGGTTTGCTGGTGTCCTTTGTCATCATCTCTGTGGGGTTGAAGATGATGCACCTTACAATTTAGAATAGGTTCTTGCACCTGGAAGCTCAGAACAGAAGAGATCATGTGGCTTCTGTCAGGCTGCTGCTTTCCTTGCTGGGAGCTGCTGAGGCTCCTGGGTGGGGTGCAGGGTGCTGGGGGGCTGCTGCCCTGACCCCGTGGGCCTTTCTCCTGGTGTCCAGGTGGAGTTGCTGCAGACTGTCATGGACTACGTAGTACACACTGTGCTGCTGCCCAGGGTCAACGGTAAGAAGCTTTGGAGAAATGGTCGGCTTTTAGTCCTAGGGAAAGAGGGTGGAGTTGATGGTCTAGGGGACACCTCCTGCCTGGCCCAGCTGTGAGGCCACATGAACTTCAAATGGCATCTGACCTAGAAAGGGGTGGAACCCCAAAGTTCCTGTATGTCAGCTGGTACTTCAGTCGGTCCTTCCAACGTCCTAGTGAGATGGGGATCGCGAGTATCTCTAGGTTTCACAGGAGGAAGTGAAAGAGCAGAATGGTTGAGTGGCCTAGGTCGGGTCACAGAGCAGGTGAGAGAAGGAACTTGGGTCTGATCCCAGCTCGGAAGCCAGAGGCTGCCATCTTTCTCCAACTCTGGGAGAAAGGCTGGAGTCTCCTGCTAACCTCTTGAAAGGTCACACTCACCAAGCTGTAAGAACTCCAGGAGACCTGCCCCTCGCCTTTGAGAGCCAGGGGCAACGGGACCAGTGGAGGGCCACTCACATGTGACCTGGGTATCTGGAAACTATAAACAAGGCCGACCAAATATCACACGGAGTAAGATCTGGCCTCCTACCTTGACACACGTAGCTGCATAGTGACCTGGGGGACGGACTGGGATTTAGAATTCTCCTGGAGGTACAGGGAGAGCCTTCCCGGCCACCGCCCATCTCCAGCTCCCAGTTTAGCAGTGAGGGCCGCGCGCACATGCGCACAGACACCCCTAATCCCAGGTCCCCGCCCTGCCCACACCACTGCGAGCTACTGCCCCCTGGCGCACACCAGTGGCCCTGCACTCCCGGGAGGACGGAGGTGGACACCCACATGGGTCCTAGGAGGTGCCTTGAGGCCCATGGAGGACAAGATGGTGGGGACACGCCCATGCCAGCCCCTCCCTCGAGCCGGCACCCCGGCCTCCTCTTTCCTCCCCTGGCCCTCACCATGTGTCACAGAGAAGCTGAAGACAGCCTTCCCCCTCCCCATGCCTGCCCGGGTCCAGCTCTACAACCTGCTGCTTCAGTCCCACCAGGTAAGTCCCCCAAGTGTCCCGAGGCCACCTGTCCCATAGCAACAGCTTATCGTTGGCGCGAAGCATCCTTGGTGCCATGCCAAGCCCTCACAACCCTGGCATGGGGGTAGGCATGGTGGGGTGGGAAGTGGGGTCAGCGCCTGGCAGATTGAGGGGCAGCCGAGGAGGCCCCTGCTGGCTCCTGCCCAGCCTGCCCTCCACCCGTCCCGGGTGCCTGGTCTCTGGACCCCTCTGCTCCTGGCTCCCCAGCTCTCCGAGTCTCCTGTGTGTTCCCAGCCCCCTCCCCTGCGTGCTGGAGATCTCCCCACCGTTGGCTTTCCCTGGTCACTCAGAGTTCCTCACCTCACCTGCCACCTCTGGACCACCCAGCACCCGGCCACTCCCCAGCCTCCTTAGTTTCCCCCAACTCCTGCCTCTGGCACTTGCCATCTGCCCCACCCTCCACCCTCAGGCCCCTTCCACAACACACCCCAACAGAGCTGTTATCTCCGAACAAAGCTGTCACCCAGTGTCATGTTCCTGACAACATGTGGCCCTCCCGGGAAGCCCCCACATCACCCAGCTCCTCAATCCTATACCCCCCCACCCTCCGTGTCCAGTCAGTCAACCCCCAATTCTTTAGAGCAAGGAGCTGCTGGGCCTGAGGGACTGGGGGAGACTAACCCAGAGAGTGGAGGAGGGGTTCCTCCCCGATCCCCATGTTTTACCAAGTTCATCGTTTTTTTAAAAAGACCCCTTGGTGCAATTTAATTTCTTCACTTCTGAAAGTTCTGAGTGAAGGGCATGAAGGAGCAGAGAGAAGTGGTTTTGCAGCCTTGATTGGAACAGGGACTCCCTGGAGCTGCCATGAGGCAGGGATGACAAATGAAGGCTCCCAAACAGCCTGGGGGTCTCCGCCAGAGAAGGAAACAGCTGCCAGGGAGGCGGCCGGCACATCCCCAGGCTGCCAGCTGCTGATGCGAGACCCAGCACCAGACCCCAGTGCCCCCTGGCTTCCATGGTTCTGGCAGCAGACAGGCCCCGCGTGGCTCTCCCCAGCCCGACAGGCAGGCTTCCAAAGCCTCCCTCTTACAAACGCAGCCACCCCCAAACTCACTTCCAGCTGCTGACAACACTCCGTCTCTCCCCAGAATTTCCTGCAGTTCGGAGCCGACGTTAACCTTGTGTGAGGTCATCGGGGGTACAGCGGGGTAGGGGCCATGGCCCGGGCCACCTTGCTCCAGGGAATCCTAGCTAGATCTTGATTGAGAGCCCCTTGCAAATTTCTCCGAACTCAGATCCAGAAATGATTTAAACATGGGGAGCCTGATCATTGGAAAAGAGCGGGGTGCGTATTTCAAGGTTTCTGGGCACCTGTCAACGTCGTCTTCACAATGTATCCTCCAGGAATCGCGTTTTGATTGTAACTGTAATATTTCTCTTTGGGTTCCCCCCCCCAAAAAAAAAAAGGCAAAACAAACATCTGTTTTTTCTGTGATTTTGTGTGTTGGTACTATGTTTTTTGGTTTTTGGTTTTTTTTTTAAAGTTCATTCATTCATTCACTGTCTATAACCAGCATGGCCTGTAACGCCAATGTACAGCTCAGATACAATTGCCTCTTCATTTCCACGACTAATATCTTGAGTCCCCCGCCATGTTTACATGAGCAGAAAGTCCCCTGCACCCCAAGTGTTCTTGGGGTTCTTAGTCCAAAGGGAAGGCGCTTCCCCAGGCCAGCCCATTGAGCTGTTGTTCCTGCTATTGCCATAAGGTGCCGCTGTTTAATGATGATCTTGCACAGCTTATTCCTGTGTAGCCAACGCTGGGATGCTGGTTCCTGTCATCACCACACGGTGTCGCTGTTGAACAGCTGTCCTGCACAGCCCGGCTTCCCGTAGTGCCTTTGGGCTCCAGCCCAAAGTGATGGCTCCCTTGGTCCAAGCCCTTCTGCCCTGTCATGGTGCCCACTATGGAACACTGGGCCTGGGAAGACAGGCCATCCTTGGGTGCATTTCCCCACAACTCTCCCGACCTGACATGGAAGCCAGATCACCAGCCCAGACTGCTTTGGGCCTGTGGTGGATGTCCTGGTATGTGGGGGGGTGGCATTTCCTGCCATGGGACACCAGTGGGATCATCCCAGCCATTAGATGGACTTCCTGCCAGTCCAGCAGTCCTGGGAGGCCTCTCTGAGCTGGGGATGTTTGATCTGAAACTAGAACCTGCAAGAATACCCCTAATGGGTATCTGCTTCAGCAGGTGGGGGGGCGTGGAGGAAGACACCACCAAATTGAGATACCAAAATGGTACTCTTGTGCCATCTGGAAGCTTTGGAAGGATACAAATGGAAAGGAGCTGGTGCTAATTAGGAACCTGATCTGTTATTCGGACTTCAGCCGGGCTGGCGGTGGGGAGGATGGAGAGGTGCCTTTGTACCAAAGAAAAGCAGATGAAAGGTATGTTAACACACATAGGTCAGTTATCATCCGTTTTTGCTGAATGGAGTTGAGGCTCTAGGGCCACGCGGGAAGGAGGACTATTGACCAAACACTCATGGGAGCCAGCACATCTTCCCAGGGGGGACTTGCTCGGTCCTCTTAAATTGAATCATTCTCCCCACATCAACAAGTGGCAAGTGGCAAGGCTGGGATTCTTATCCCTTTGCCATCAGAGCCCATGCTCTCTTCACTCCTCATGGATGTCAAAATCCTGTCTCTTCAGGGGTTTGGTGTGTTTAAGGCAGGACTTCTGTGTTCAGTTGCATAGGTTGTACACTATAAAAAGGCACCAGTCTCGGGAAGCAAAATTCCCTCTCCTTTGTCCGCCAAGAGGGTCCCCCTGTTTCTATTTGCCAAAGGCTGGTGTAGGCCCTGCACAGGACCAGGAGAGCAGCCAGCGAAGCCGGAAGAGAGCAAAGGGAAGCAGACTTGGGATGAGTCTGGGAGGCCATGATGACTCTGAGTTTTGTCCCCAAAGATAGGGGAAGGCATCAGATCTTTGAGCACAAGAATGACACAATCCGATTCCCATTTTTGAAAGCCCCCTCTGGCTGCTGTGGAAAGAATAGCTGCAAGGTACAGAGACACGACTCAGCTGCCTCCCCCATCCCAACTCCCTCCTGTGAATCTCTTGAAGGTAGTTGGAGCTCTCCTGCACCTCCCTTCTGCTTTCTGGAGCACATGGGCAGCTCTTGCCCCACTCTTTATACAACAAATGCAATTAGATCTTGGATCCGATGACTGGGGAGTGGAACATGCTCTCCCGCGGGAACCTCTCTCCCGTGGCAGGTTTGGATTGTGGCACGTACCCCCATGTGCCCCAGGGGATCTTCCAAGCGGCCCCCAATCCCACGATTAGAGCAGCTTCTCCTTCAGGCCCATCACTGCCTGCTCCACGTGCCTGCTAATGGGCACCAGGTTTCTTTGGGGGTGTTGACGGGGTTCTAAAGTTAGATGGTAGGGTTGGTTTTGCAACTCTGTGAACACACCAAAAGCCCCTGGACACTTTAAATGAGAGAATGTTATGGCATCTAAAATGTATGTCAATAAAGTTGCAAAAAAATAAAAAATAAAATAAAATGCTTCTAAAAGTGTCCACCCGGGATTGCCTGGAAGCTCATGGTCACAGCAGCTTCCTGATGAGCAAGCATCGCCCTCTTGCGGTTCCTTTTGGAAGTGCTGACTTATCAAATGTGAGGGGAGGTGCCCTCTAGTGGGAGGGAAGGGGAGAGCTCACCAGGACACTGACCCCAGGTTTGCCATGTTGCTGGACTCCATTAGTGGCGGTGATCAGCCCTGTCCTGCTTCCATCTCTTCGGGTTAATTATCCCATTTAATCCTCATGACAACCTCCAAGGGTAGACAGGGTGGCTGTCTTTCTCCAGAAGAGTCCATAGAGAGGTCACATGGCCTGCCCAGTGGCTCAGTTCAGTGTTCCAAATTCCAGTGATGGAGTCACTTGGACCTGGCTTCAAACATCAGCCCCAACAGGCTGCATGACCTACGTGAGCTCCTTTCCTCCTCTGCAAAGGAAAGAGAAAATCTCAGCCTCAGATTTTGGAGTGGGGGGCGATGTTGGTACACGCTATCGTCCCAGTTAACATATACCAACATGCTAAGGCTGAGGAAGGATCATGAGCCCAGGAGTTCAAGCAATATAGCAAGACCCCCACCTCAAAATAAAAATGAAATAAACTCTTGCCCTCCTCTTTGGCAAGAGGTCACAGGAAGAATCACTGGTTCAGATGACAAGCTCGCAACTCAGTCATGAAGAGTGTGAGCTGTGTTCCCAGAATCGTCACTTGCAAACCCCAGCTCTGCCGTTTCGTGCTGTGTGACCTTGGGCAGTTCATTTGATTCTCTGGTCTTCGATTTTCTCAGCTGTAGAGCAAGCAGGAGAATAGTGCCGACTGTTATGAGAAATCAAATGCATGGGAAATCTGTGGGACAGGAGTTGACAGGGATGATCTGAGTTAGCTCTAAATATTCATAAGCCCCATTCTTCTCACCATACTCTACCGATGATATCTGGCTTGTCACAACTGTATTCCCAAAGCCTGCCACATAAATATGAATTTTTAAAGTGACCTAGGAGTTAGCCAGGCACAGTGACACTCGCCTGTAATCCCAGAGGCTCAGGAAGCTGAGGCAGGAGGATTGAAAGATCCAGGCCAGTCTGGACAACGTAGGGAGAGCCTGTTATTTATTTATAAAAAATAAAAAGGGCAGGGGATGCAGCTCAGTGGGAAAGCACCCCCGGGTTCAATGCCCAGTGCTGTAAATACAAACAAAACAGTGACCTAGGAGTTGATTCCACATGGGTGTGACCCAAAGCCTCTGTCAGGGACCCAGATATGCCCAGCGCTATCTGCCTGGACCAGCCTGGGTCGGGAATCAGGGCCCCACTGGTTATAGGACTGCTCTTCCTCACAGTTCAGTAACAATTTCTTCTTGCTGAGAAATTTCCATTTTAACAGAAGCTCCTTCGGGACCCCAAAGCCATCAGAATTCAGTAAAATGAACCTAGTGCTGTGATTTCAGATGCTGCCAATTTCAGGGACAAAGAGCGGAAGGAGGAGGGAAGGAGCCTCGGGTTCCTTAACTTCTTTCTG